CTACTGCTACTGCTACTGCTACTGCTTCTGCTACTGCTACTGCTACTGCTACTGCTACTGCTACTGCTACTGCTACTGCTACTGCTACTGCTACTGCTACTCCTACTGCTGCCAGTTAAGGCAGTAGCTGCCTTAACTGGCCAGATTCCAGCCTTGCCTTAACTGGCCGTGCCCCTCCATCCTAAGTCGACACCGGGAAATACAGTGGTGGTGATAGATGAGGTTTTAGTATGTATGGCTATGACGAGTCGCATATAACTCTGTGCAAACAGCATTGCGTGCACGGGGTATGCGTAAATGCATTTCCTCATCTTATAAATAATAGAATTCTCATTAACTGGTTAGAGTCTAGCCTTCACTGACCTTGTCATAAAGTTCAATGTCATGTAAAAGTCAGATTCCATATCAGCATGAAAGGCCTTTCAAGTATATAACAATTTATCGTGTTATTCTTAATAAAAGGATTTTCTCACTTTGTCCTATAGATGACTTAAAAATGAACGTTAGATGACCTTGTAGGCTTAATCGAACCCGATGTTCGTATTCAGTGACCTCAAAAATCTATGTACCTACTGTTTCACATATTTCTAATTGCTTTTTACAATTTGACCTTGAGATGACCTTGAATCTAACATGATAGAGGTTAGCTGACCTTGGATTTGTAATCAGCGCTCCCAAATACCCTAGTTTACCATAATCTAGTATAGTGATACAACTTGTGCGAAATAACATATCTTTCATATATCCAAACTCTCGTCGACTGCCAGACCTTCTAGGAGGCTTTTTTGGGAGTTATACCAGTGAGAACTTTTTATCAGGTCAAATACTATCGAAAAAAATTGGTTGCACCCAATTCGATGGGGAACCAAAATCCCATATAGTGGGTGTGTGGTTTTTTATTGAAAAAACGTTACATCCTTAGAAGATAGGTATCAGCAGCAGTTTCAAGAAGACACATAATAGGCCCAATTTTTTTCCGAGAAGTAATAAATGAAAAACGATACCGTAACTTTTTACAAACAAACCCCGGAATTAATGGATGACGATAAAATACAGCATGGGTATTTTCAACAAGAGGAGCTGCAGCACTTACTGCAGCAGAAACTATCTTCAGGAATTTTATGGAGCTATTGGTTACTAGGGGTTTAAACATCCTCTCGACATACTTGAAGGACTGGAAACAGCAATTGAACGTGAAATAAACATTATAACTCCGATTCAACTTGAACGCGTTTTTGAGTGCATGAAATGTACAGTACATTTATGTTTGGAAAATGAAGATAATCATTTTGAATATCTACAGGGTGTATTTAAATGGAGGGGCACAAATGATACCAGAGATTCCTTGTGTGAAAATAAGTCGATTTAACCTAACATACCTATATCCCAAGTCGCATAATAAAAAAGATACAGGGTGTCAAAGTGAAAAATAAAAAATGGTTTTTCCTTAATAATTTCTATAATTTTAGTCAGAAATGTTTCAAATTTTCAACAGAGAGGTTTNGTTTTCGTCGTTGTTGTTGCCGTAGTAGTAAGTAGTTGTAGCACTAGTTCTAGTTAACGCTACAGTTGTAGTCGTTGCTATTGATTCTACTAATAACAACAGCAACAGCTGCAACAACAACAACAGTAACAACACCAACAGCAACAGCAACAGTGACAACTAAAGCACACTCCTTTAATCCAACGAGCGTTCAAATAAAAACGGGGTCGAAGTTGGCTCTGACACATTGGACGTAGGGAGTAGCTTATAGCGACCAACTTAACCTCATTTCTCAACGAGCTGTATAGCAGCTGTCAGTTTCAATAACGTTAATGACTATATAACTTTATTTTAAAGAATAATCGTGATAACAATAACAAACAATTAAAGGAGCTGCGGAAAGTGTCCCCCTCCTTGTTATAACAATAAATTAAAGCAGCTGCTGAAAGTGTCCCCCTCCTTGTTCCAAGCACTTTTCACACCTGTTCCTC